GATCTTTGCTATCGTTTCCTTCATTTCTTTTTCATTTATTTCTGATCTGATCTCTATGATTTCTTTCCTTCGCTAACTTTGGATTTTTTTTTTCTTCTTTCTCTAATTGCTTTAGGTGCAAGGTTAGGTTGTTTATTCGAGATGTTTCCTGTTTCTTAAGGTAGGATTGTATTGCTATAAACTTCCCTCTTAGAACTGCTTTTGCTGCATCCCATAGGTTTTGGGTCGTCGTGTCTCCATTGTCATTTGTTTCTAGGTATTTTTTGATTTCCTCTTTGATTTCTTCAGTGATCACTTCGTTATTAAGTAGTGTATTGTTTAGCCTTCATGTGTTTGTATTTTTTACAGATCTTTTCCTGTAATTGATATCTAGTCTCATAGTGTTGTGGTCAGAAAGGATACTTGATACAGTTTCAATTTTCTTAAATTTACCAAGGCTTGATTTGTGACCCAAGATATGATCTATCCTGGAGAATGTTCCATGAGCACTTGAGAAAAATGTGTATTCTGTTGTTTTTGGATGGAGTTTCCTATAAATATCAATTAAGTCTATCTTGTTTAATGTATCATTTAAAGCTTGTGTTTCCTTATTTATTTTCATGTTGGATGATCTGTCCATTGAGGAAAGTGGGGTGTTAAAGTCCCCTACTATGAATGTGTTACTGTCGATTTTCCCTTTTATGGCTGTTAGTATTTGCCTTATGTATTGAGGTGCTCCTAGGTTGGGTGCATAAATATTTATAATTGTTATATCTTCTTCTTGGATCGATCCCTTGATCATTAAGTAGTGTCCTTCTTTGTCTCTTCTAATAGTCTTTATTTTAAAGTCTATTTTGTCTGATATGAGAATTGCTACTCCAGCTTTCTTTTGGTTTCCATTTGCATGGAATATCTTTTTCCATCCCCTTACTTTCAATCTGTATGTGTCTCTAGGTCTGAAGTGGGTCTCTTGTAGACAGCATATATATGGGTCTTGTTTTTGTATCCATTCAGCCAATCTGTGTCTTTTGATGAGAGCATTTAGTCCATTTACATTTAAGGTAATTATCGATATGTATGTTCCTATTCCCATTTTCTATATTGTTTTGGGTTCGTTATTGTAGGTCTTTTCCTTCTCTTGTGTTTCTTGCCTAGAGAAGTTCCTTTAGCATTTGTTGTAAAGCTGGTTTGGTGGTGCTGAATTCTCTCAGCTTTTGCTTGTCTGTAAAGGTTTTAATTTCTCCATCAAATCTGAATGAGATCCTTGCTGGGTAGAGTAATCTTGGTTGCAGGTTTTTCTCCTTCATCATTTTCAGTATGTCCTGCCACTCCCTTCTGCCTTGCGGAGTTTCTGCTGAGAGATCAGCTGTTAACCTTATGGGGATTCCCTTGTGTGTTATTTTTTGTTTTTCCCTTGCTGCTTTTAATATGCTTTCTTTGTATTTAATTTTTGACAGTTTGATTAATATGTGTCTTGTCGTATTTCTCCTTGGATTTATCCTGTGCTTCCTGGACTTGATTAACTATTTCCTTTCCCATATTTGGGAAGTTTTCAACTATAATCTCTTCAAATATTTTCTCAGTCCCTTTCTTTTTCTCTTCTTCTTCTGGAACCCCTATAATTTGAATGTTGGTGTGTTTAATTTTGTCCCAGAGGTCTCTGAGACTGTCCTCGGTTCTTTTCATTCTCTTTTCTTTATTCTGCTCTGCAGTAGTTATTTCCACTATTTTATCTTCCAGGTCACTTATCTGTTCTTCTGCCTCAGTTATTCTGCTATTGATCCCATCTAGAGTATTTTTCATTTCTTTTATTGTGTTGTTCATCGTTGTTTGTTTCATCTTTAGTTCTTCTAGGTCCTTGTTAAATGTTTCTTGCATTTTCTCTATTCTATCTCCAAGATTTTGGATCATCTTTACTATCATTACTCTGAATTCTTTTTCAGGTAGACTGCCTGTTTCCTCTTCATTTGTTAGGTCTGGTGGGTTTTTATCTTGCTCCTTCATCTGCTATGTGTTTCTCTATCTTCTCATTTTGCTTATCTTACTGTGTTTGGGGTCTCCTTTTTTCAGGCTGCAGGTTCGTAGTTTCCGTTGTTTTTAGTGTCTGTCCCCAGTGGCTAAGGTTGGTTCAGTGGGTTGTGTAGGCTTCCTGGTGGAGGGGACTAGTGCCTGTGTTCTGGTGGATGAGGCTGGATCTTGTCTCTCTGGTGGGCAGGTCCACATCTGGTGGTGTGTTTTGGGGTGTCTGTGGACTTATTATGATTTTAGGCAGCCTCTCTGCTAATGGGTGGGGTTGTGTTCCTGTTTTGCTGGTTGTTTGGCATAGGGTGTCCAGCACTGTAGCTTGCTGGTCGTTGAGTGAAGCTGGGTGCTGGCGTTGAGATGGACATCTCTGGGAGATTTTCGCCATTTGATATTATGTGGAGCTGGGAGGTCTCTTGTTGCCCAGTGTCGTGAAGTTGGCTCTCCCACCTCAGAGGCACAGCACTGACTCCCGGCTGTAGCACCAACAGCCTGTAATCCACACGGCTCAGAATAAAAGGGAGAAAAAGTAGAGAGAAAGAATTAGTAGAAGTAGGAAGAAAGAAAGAAAGAAAGAAAGAAAGGGAGGAAGGGAGGAAGGAAGGAAGGAAGAAAATAAAGTAAAATAAAATAGTTATTAAAAGTAATTATTAAGAAAAAAATTTAAAAAAAAAAACAAAACCGGACGGATAGAACCCTAGGACAAATGGTGGAAGCAAAGCTATACAGACAAAATCTCACACAGAAGCATACACATACACATAAAAAGAGGAAAAGGGAAAAAATCCTAAACCTTGCTCCCAAAGTCCACCTCCTCAATTTGGGATGATTCATTGTCTATTCATGTATTCCGCAGATCTAGGGTACATCAAGTTGATTGTGGAACTTTAATCCGCTGCTTCTGAGGCTGCTGGGAGAGATTTCCCTTTCTCTTCTTTGTTCTCACAGCTCCCGGGTCTCAGCTTTGGATTTGGCCCCGCCTCTGCGTGTAGGTCGCCAGAGGGCGTCTGTTTTTCGCTCAGACGGCACGGGGTTAAAAGAGCTGCTGATTCGGAGGCTCTGGCTCACTCAGGCCGGGTGGAGGGATGGGCACAGAGTGCGGGGCGGGCCTGCGGCGGCAGAGGCCGGCATGACGTTGCACCAGCCTGAGGCGTGCCGTGCGTTCTCCCGGGGAAGTTGTCCCTGGATCCCGGGAACCTGGCAGTGGCGGGCTGCACAGCCGCCCTGGAAGGGAGGTGTGGATAGTGACCTGTGCTCGCACACAGGCCCCTTGGTGGTGGCAGCAGCAGCCTTAGCATCTCCTGCCCGTCTCTGGGGTCCGTGCTTTTAGCCGCAGCTCGCGGCCGTCTCTGGAGCTCCTTTAAGCAGCGCTCTTAATCCCCTCTCCTCGCGCACCAGGAAACAAAGAGGGAAGAAAAAGTCTCTTGCCTCTTCGGCAGCTCCAGACCTTTTGCCGGGACTCCCTCCCGGCCAGCCGTGGTGCACTAACGCCCTGCAGGCTGTGTTCACACCGCCAACCCCAGTCATCTCCATGCGCTCCGACCGAAGCCCGAGCCTCAGCTCCCAGCCCCGCCCGCCCCGGCGGGTGAGCAGACAAGCCTCTAGGGCTGGTGAGTGCTGGTCGGCACCCATCCTCTGTGCGGGAATCTCCCCGCTTTGCCCTCCGCACCCCTGTGGCTGCGCTCTCCTCCGCGGCTCCGAAGCTTCCCCCTCTGACACCTGCAGTCTCTGCCCGCGAAGGGGCTTCCTAGTGTGTGGAAACCTTTCCTCCTTCACAGCTCCCTCCCACTGGTGCAGGTCCCGTGCCTATTCTTTTGTCTCTGTTTTTTCTTTTTTTCTTTTGCCCTACCCAGGTACTTGGGGAGTTTCTTGCCTTTTGGGAGGTCTGAGGTCTTCTGCCAGCATTCAGTAGGTGTTCTGTAGGAGTTGTTCCACGTGTAGATGTATTTCTGGTGTATCTGTGGGGAGGAAGGTGATCTCCACGTCTTACTCTTCCGCCATCTTCCACCGGAGCTTTCACGTTCTCTTTCTGATACTTCATTGTTAGTGTAAAGAAATGCAACAGATTTCTGTATGTTAATCTTGTATTCTGCTACCTTGCTGAATTCGTTTATCAGTTCTAATAGTTTTGTGTGGAGCCTTTAGGGTTTTCTATGTAGAGTTACCATATCATCTCCATGTTTTACCTCTTCCCTTCCAATTTGGATACCTTTTATTTCTTTTTCTTGTCTAATTGCTGTAGCTAGGACTTCCAATACTATGTTAAATAGAAGTGGTCAGAGTGGGCATCCTTGTCTTGTTCCAGATTTTAGCAGGAAGGCTTTCAGCTTTTCACTATTGAGTATCATGTTGGCTGTGGGTTTGTCATAAATAGTTTTTATTATGTTGAGATTTGTTCCCTGTGTAACCACTTTGGTGAGAGTTTTTACCATGAATGGATGTTGAATTTTATCAAATGCTTTTTCTGCATCTATTGAGATGATCATGTGGCTTTTGTCTTTTTTTTTGGTTGACATGGTGTATCACATTGATTTGTGTATATTGGGCCATCCTTGCGACCCTAGGATGAATCCAACTTTATCATGTGCGTGATCACTTTTATGTGCTGTTGGATTCAGTTTGCTAATATTTTGTTGAGGATTTTTGCGTCTATTTTCATCAAAGAATTGTCCTGTAATTTTCTTTTTTGGTAGTGTCTTTGTCTGGTTTTGTATCAGGGTGATGGCGGCTTCATAAAATGACTTTGGGAGTGTTCCCTCCTCTTCAGTCTTCTGGAAGAGTTTGAGAAGGATCGATATAAGTTCTTCCTTGTATGTTTGGTAGAATTCCCCAGTGAAGCCGTACAGTCCTAGACTTTTGTTTGCAGGGAGTTTTTTAAATTACAGATTCTATTTCACTTCTGGTGGTTGGTGTGTTCAATTTCTTCTTGATTCAGTTTTGACAGCCTGTATGTTTCTAGAAACTTACCCATTTCTAGGTTGTCCAATTTGTTGGCATATAATTGTTCATAGTATTCTCTTACTTTTTTTTTTTTTTTTTTTTTTTTGTATTTCTGCCGTATTGGTCATTATTTCTCCTCTTATTTTGTTTATTTGGGTCATTTCTCTCGAAAAGCACGACTTTAAATGAAAATTCAGTGTTATCCTTCAATTTGAAGGTTATGGCTTAAATATTAATCAACTACCACACCTCAAATTGGCCACCTTTCTTCCAAGTTCTCTATTATTATGGAGCCATTTGTTCTCTACTTCCTCCCAGTGGTGACCTCCTGGTGATCTTTGATCTTTACGTTCCACATCCACATGCACCTGGTGGACTAGTTTGCTTGCCTCCTTCTCTGTGGCATTGTTCAGATGCATATGTTATTCTTCCTTCCTGTCCTCAAATACCCTGGCAAAGCCCTGGGTCATGCCTGCTGTTTATAAACTCCTTTCCTTGGAACGCCCGTCTTCTCCTGTCCCTCTCAAAGCATTCTTCCCTGCTTCAATCATGTTGCTCCAAGCTCCCAACCACACGGGCCCATCAATCTTCTGAACCATCTGCAGACTTCGGACAGCAGCCGCAGCTGCCCCATCTCAGGTATGGGACTCGTCTCTTCTTTGCCAGCGACTGTCTCTCAAACCTTCTCTCACTCTCATCTTTAGTCTTCTCCTCTGACTCTCTGTGCGTGGCATCCTCCCTTTTCCTGGTCACCTTTTAGCACCAGCTCTCCCTTTCACTCACAGATTGGGGTTTGACCTTTTAAAACGTTTGTTCTGATCGACTTCACAAACTTCTGGCTCATGTCATAATTCTGGAAGCATCCATTCCCGAAGCCCTCTCGTATAATTAGTGCGGTGGTCGGTAGCGTGGCTCTGGCATCAACTCCAACTGCATTTTAACCCTGGATGTGCACGACTGTGCTTTGTGCTTACCTACAGATTTGACTTTGTTCCTAATAGAAAGGTGGGGAAAGCAGGTGTTTGTTGAATTGAATTAAAGGAGAGTTATGGGCCCTCTCGGCTTTATTACCTGGGGCTCTGGACACTGGTTCAGGACCTCCACCTTCACCTCACTGGCAGGGAATGGTCTTCGCTCAGAATAACCAAGTTCCCTGCTTCCACTGACACCAAATCCCCCTCAAGCGGGACATGGAGAAGGCACTTGATCCCGGAGGCATCTGCTCCTGCGGCTGACGTCATGCTCTGACAGAGCGCTGTCCTAGGGGCTCCATGTCCACATGTGGATCAGACATCAAACAGAAGTAGAGGAAAATAGCTCAGGAGCAAGCTGCCGGCTCTGACGAGGGGACTCAGCCACTCTCCAAATAGCACCTCCGGAGCTGCCTGCATTCTTGAGACAATACATTTTCTTCCAGCGCACCCAGGAATAAACGCAGCTCTGTGTCCAGGCTGTGGGGATTAGTTCTCGCTGGGTGATGGCTGAAAGAACAAGGGCTCCTCCTTTTCCCATAAAGCTGGCTAATAATACACTGGTAAGTCATCTGTCCCCCAGCTGATCAGAGGAGGAATTCCGCACCAGCCGAGGGTCCAGTTAGCCCTGAAAGCTGCCTATTTAAGCACCAAGAGGTCTTCTTTAAGATTTCTCTCTCTTTGGATGGAAATCTTTTTAACACACACATATATATATGTCCCTTCTGCCTCCTCATATCGATAAAACAAATATCCAATATGATCTACTCAATGTCATCAATATAACCAGTCGTACTGTGTGTAACACATGGAAACCTTCAGACAGGGAAGAAAACTTCAAATCTACAATGTGCTATAAACACAGCACTGGGCAGGGCGTGCCTGACATTTTAATATCCTATCAAATGCACATAACTAGTCTGTGAGGCAGCTGTATCATCCCCATTTTACAGATGAGAAAACAGAGGCTCAGAGAAGTTAGGCACAATGCCTGCCATCACACAGTAAATGAGAGGGCAAGCGGTGGGATTCACACCCAGGCCCGTCTGACTCCAAAGCTCCACAGCCCGCAGCTGCTGCTGCACGTGCAGTTCTTCCCTCCTACAGATAATTTTCCAGATGGCCATACTTTTTGATTCCTGGTATCTAGTTTTAAAACTTTTCTCTGTGGCAGTTATTGTTGTCATTTCTGTCCTCTGGAGAGTGGAGCTCTCTGCCTAACCCTGACCCTCCTTCTCTGGCCTTGGGCAAGCTTCCTACCCCTCCTGCCTTCCAGCTCCTCCTATGCAAAAGCAGGCTGACCAGCAAACAACCTCTGAGATCCCCCAGCTGAACACTCTATACCTGCAGGAGGAAGAAGCGTGATGGGAAGAAGGACGACAGGCTGCGTGATTTGGAAAAGCTGGGGTGGAAAGCCGTCGGCACTTCAGAGCTGGGGCTGGGCTCAGTAATGTGACCTGGGGCTGTTTTACAGCGAACTCAGGGAAGACCTGTATGGAAAACATCCTTTCGGCTTCCTGGAGGTGGGTATGGATATGGTTATACAGAGAGACAGGTAAACTGGTGACAAAAGGCAAAGAGCAAACTGAGCCTTTTCCCGTTGCCCACAGAGTCCCTCCCAGCCGTAACTCTAGGTGTTTAAGAAGGAGCCGCCAGCACCTCTCCCTGTCCCGTGGCCACCCTGCTACGTCACTGCCCAAGGTGTGGTCAGGGCCCCTCGCACTGTCCCTCAGCCCCGTGGGGCTTGCTAACCCTCTGCTCCCACAGGTGACATGCACCTGCCCTGACCAGGCCTCCAAGGAGATGCCTGGCCAATGGCACAGAGACTTGGACTGAGGTCACTGGGCAGGCAGGACAGGACCTCAGGCAGACCGCTTCCCTTCAGAGCACGGATGCACCCTTTAGGAGGGTCGGGCTCTCTTCTTGGATGGGGAGGGGCTCTAGGGACGGGGGTTTCAGTCCCAGCTGGAGCAAGGAGGTGGCCTGGGGGGGTGTGACAGGCAGCAAGCCCACAGCAGGCTGCTGGGGCAAGCGAGCGGGCTCCGTACTTCCTGACTCCCCCGCTGGTGGCCACTCACCTTTCTGGCCTTCACAGAGCAGGCATTTCGTAAATGTGCGCTTTGATCTAAAGTCCCCTAAATGTCAAAACGATTGAGTCACCGTTTATCCTACAAACCATTAAGGGTAAAGGCTGCATCTTCCGTTTCTTGTGTACCTTCTTGAAGCGCTCTGCATTGGGGCCAGCATACAGTGGATGCTTAATTAATGTCCCTGCACCTTGGGGACCACAGTCCTGCTCCCCCTGCCCTACCCACACCTCTTCGAGTGGCCTCCGTATCCACGCCTGGTGTGGGTGCGTTGGGAGGGGCAGCTTTTATTCTCAAGTGGGAACTGCTGACACTCTTTAAAATTAATGACCAATTAACGAGGGTACCTGCTGGCCACCCTCCCAAAGATTTGTCAGGAAAAATAGGGAAAAAACAAACAGACATAAAGTAGAAGGGGAAGAAGCTTCATTCTTCTCCGGAAGCTTCATTTTTCCAACCCTGACTTAGAAACAACCAGACTTGTTAGACAGCCCCCCCCAGTCACCCCCCGTTTCTCTGCAGGCCATGCCTTCCCCCTACCCCCCACCCAGGCCAGCAGCTGGTCTTTCCTAATCCATAGTATATCTCAATAACAACAGGTCCTTAAAGCAGCTGTTGCTGTGGATACTGTCTGGCCGGGTAGCTCCCCCATCATTAATTTACTTGTTGGTCTTACTGGCACTTAAGAAAGGATTCAGTTAATAATGATACTAATGAGATAGAAAGTTACACAGTGAAAGGAGGAGGAGGAAGAGGATCGTTGTTGTTGTTGTTTCTGGCCGAGTTTTACAATCACACCACCCTGTGTTGTGACAAAAGTCTTGCTCAAAACTCCAAGAGGATTTTAATAGTTTTGTCCTTGGCTTCCTCCCTTTTCCCACAGGACAAGATTTCTAAGTACCTGCTGCCCAGGGCTGCACACTGATGTCTGAGCCCGTGGCGCCCGCAGGATGGAGTTAGGCAGGAGCCCCAGCGAGGCTGTCCCATCACACTGAGTGAGGACACCCCGAGCCCAAGTTCAAAGGAAGGCATCTCAAACCTCCAGCTTTCCCCAATGGGAAAATGGTTGTGGATCCCGCTCATTTCTATATATACCTCTCCCTTGGCAATGACAAAAAAAAAGTGAGGAAGGAGCTGGTCCTCAGCTTGTGGTGTCGGTCATTCTCTTTCCAAATATAGAGAAGGAATGAGCGGTGGCGTTAGCGGGGGGTATAAAAGTCCGCGGGCAGCAGCCCCTCTGTAGCTGCTCTGTGGGTGGAGGAGAGTCGCAGTGCCCCTCACTGGCTCTTTTCCGAGTGTGGCTTGGAGGACGCCACCTGGTGCGGGCCTGTCTGGCTTTGGTAAGGTTAGAGGCGGAGCTGGGCCTCGGGCCCAAAGGCCCACCCCGCTGCCTGCAGCACCGTCCTCCAGCCCGCTCTCCCCTCGACGCTCCGTGGGCCACGGCCTGCCCTTCGCCTCTCCGATCTGTGCAGAGGCCAGTGGGGTCGCCGCCTACCCTGCCCTCACCTTCCCCACCTGCGCTGCATGCCTGGCGGGTGTCCGTCGGCCAATCTGAGATTTCTCCCTGTTCACCGAAGACAGGGGGCCTGATCCCGGCTTGGAACCACTGGCCTTTTTAACAGGGATTCTGTCCTTCCTGCCCAGTTCTGAATGGGAGGCACTGCAGACTGAGGAGAGTGCCGTGCTGGGCTGGTAGGAGCCAGGTTTGGGGCGGTTGGGGGCTTTTCCTACCTTCGTGGCTCACCTGTGGGTCACGTCCCATCTGCTCCTCCAGCTTGTCTCTGGGGTAAGACTCTAAGTTATTAGTCCTTTATCCTTATTTGGTTAGTTCATCAGGACCCGATTCAGAACCGACCCAGACACTCCCGTGTCCTGAGCTTGCTTTCTGCGTATTTATTGCAGGTCTGATTTCCCACGACTGCTGTTGTCCGCTGATCTCCCGTGGGTGTGACCCTCAGGTGAGGAAGCCGGTCGGGTCCCTTGGCTCAGAGGTCTCTAGGCTACCAGTTCCTCCCACCTCCGATGGCCTGGAGGGTGAGAGCCCTGTAGAGCTTAGACCAGGACAGGTTAGGCTGGAGCGGAGTGGAGAGGAGGCAGCACCTGGGGAGATGCTCTGAGTAGATGCTGATGTCCGATGCTGCTTCTGTTCTCAAAACAGAACCGAAGAAAGCAAAAGCCGGTTTCCTCCTGTGAGGAGGTAGCCACCTTGAGCCAGAAAGGTCCCCAAATTCCTCAGCTATTTGCCACTTAGCGCACTCTTTGAAGAATGGCGTTTATTTCTGATGGTGTTTATTTTTAAATCTTCCCTCAGCAACACCTGGGTTTTTGCAGAAGAGGAAAGTGAGTCCCGAGAACTGCACCCGCCTCTAGGGTCCCTTCGCCCGTCCGAGCCCCGGCTAATGGGGGAGCTTGGATTGCATACGCTCCGTGCCCTTTGCACAAAGTAGCTGCTCAATAAATATGTGTGCATTTGATTTTCCTGGGGGTCGATGGAGGGCAGCCTTGCTCCCGGGGCTCCGCCTTGAAGGGCTCCCTCCGGGGCAGGGCTGAAGCCTGGGGGCAGCAGGGCTCACCTGGTGGGTTCGCCTTCCAGCCGACACCATGAGCAGCGGCACTGAAATGGAAGTGTTCGGCATAGCCGCTCCCTTCCTCCGGAAGTCAGAAAAGGAGAGGATCGAGGCTCAGAACCAGCCTTTTGATGCCAAAACCTACTGCTTTGTGGTCGACTCAAAGGAAGAATACGCCAAGGGGAAAATTAAGAGTACCCAGGATGGGAAGGTCACGGTGGAAACCGAAGACAACAGGGTAAGCCCCGTCCACACCCTCTGCGGGCCGGCCAGGCCTCTGTCTGCTCCCCATGGCTGCCCAGTCTGTGCATCCGGTCCATACCCAGCCATCTCCAGACGTGGCTCTGGCACCGGAACGCCTCACCTGGCATCACCGCCTTAGCGTCCCAGGTGTCCTCGGAGGAAGCAGAGTGAACACTGGCCTCAGGTTGCACGGTGGGAGAACCACCTGGTTCTGGTTTGGCCAAAACAATCCATGTTCGGGTGCTTTTGTTAATGTTCGTGTCACTCTAGGTCAGAGGGGACCAGCCCTGTGCATCCCAGGGGTGTGGAGTTGGGAGTCCAACAGTAGGAGGACCTCTGTTAGAACACTCTCCTTTGGTAGCCTAGGTTTCCCCCTAATTCTTCTAGCAATAGCCATCTAACTAAGGAAGTAAGGAAAGCGAGTAAAGGATCCTGGTGGACCACAAGCTCGATGTGACATAGCAGCCTTCCCATATCATGAAGGCAATGAGCAGTGTAGCCCACTACATTCTGGCCCAGGTACTGTGGGCATGCTGGGAGGAATTCTGGACTTCACTACTCTCTGGAATCTAGAGCAGAAGAATCTGGAAATGTTCTAAGAAAAGTTAAAAAAAAGAAAAAAAAAAAAAAAGGCAGGGGGGTGGTATCCAAAAGAGAAGTGTAAAGGAAATAGCGTCATTGGGTTCGATGTGAAGGAAAAAGGCACTGAAATTGTCCTGTGATGCTTGCAAGCACTGGAGCTCCAGAGGGCAGCTCTCAGTACATTTCAGATGATGGAGTTAAGAACGGGCTTATGAAGCCACAGGGAAACACGGAAGGTAGACCTGATGAATGACAATCTAAGATGTCTAGACCCTCACAGGAAGGGCTGATGGCATGGATGGTTTAAGTGGATCTCTACTTAAAGGCAGGTTTTCCACTGCCTTGCCCAGAGGCGGGGTGGGGAAAATGACCATCTTCAAAGGAGGTCTCAGGAAGGAGGTGAGGGCAGAGCAGGGGAGAGGAAGCTGAGCTCCATGCCCACTATGCCAGGGTCCTCCAGCCCCGCTGGGCACTAGGGCAGGGGGCTTCTCTCGAGGGGAGCACAAAGGCGCCTGCCAGTGCCTGGAACCACCACTCTGCCTCGTGGTTCCTTCTCCTGGCTTGTAACACTCCCGCCCCAGAAAGGGAGCGGGGCTGGTTCTCTTTCACAAGCAAGGGCCAGAGCGGGTGAACGGGCAAGATGCAGGGTGGGGGCTTGACAGCTGCTTCCAGAGAGCTCAGAATGCTGGCTAACTCTGGGCACCGGCCTGCTGACCCAAGGCCACCAGCCTCCTCTTCGGTACCTGCCTCAGGAACACCAGTGGACCTGCCGTGTTCCCTGAGTAGACAGCAGAAACCCATGAGCTGCTGGAGCTGGGTTTCGGCCCAGCCGGCATCACGGAGCTGAGAGGTTCCTGCTGGCACCCGCGCCTGCGTCATCCCCGCACCCACCCACAGAGACCCTCTTCTCATTTCTGGCATCCTTCCCTCACCTCAGGCCCATCGGAGATGGAAAAAAACAAAAGCCCAAGTAACAGAAACAAATCCCATTCCGTCACCACCACTGCAAGCCGCCCCCAGCCCTGTCTCCCTCCCTGTCAAACGGGCGTTTTCTCCAGCACCTGCTTCTTCTGATCTGGGCGTGGGAGACAGATAGCTGCAGGGGCAAAACGCACAGAGAAGCCCAGGTGTGCACTGTACCCCGTCCCTTTCAGACCCTGGTGGTGAAGCCAGAGGACGTGTACGCGATGAACCCGCCCAAGTTCGACCGGATCGAGGACATGGCCATGCTGACGCACCTGAATGAACCGGCCGTGCTGTACAACCTCAAGGACCGCTACACCTCCTGGATGATCTACGTCAGTGCCCGCGTTTGCTGGGTTCCTGGGACCTCTGACGGGGTGGGGTGGGGCTGAGCTGCTTGTGGTGGGATGGGCTCTGGAAGGACTGGTGCTGACTGAGCTGCTCAGCAAAAGAGGGGGAATGAAAAGAAGAAAGGGCGACAAGAGTGATGCAGGATGAGAAGGTGAGAGATGAACGGGGCAGGAGGAGAGCAGCTGGAAGGAGGGGCGGGGGCAGGCGAGGTGGGTCCGAGGCTGGGGTCCTGGCACCGGCACCCACCAGCGGCGGGAGGTCCGTTACAACCCTCTTGAGTCTCAGCTGCCTCATCTATAAAGAGAAGTATCTTGCCTCCTTTACAAGTTTCTCGTAAAGAAAAGTGAAATAACAAAAAGAAGGTTTTATGTGTACAGGCACACACCCACGTATACATACATATATATTTTTTACGCTCCCCCAGACCTACTCGGGCCTCTTCTGTGTCACTGTCAACCCTTACAAGTGGCTGCCGGTGTACAACCCCGAGGTGGTGGAGGGCTACCGGGGCAAAAAGCGCCAGGAGGCCCCGCCCCACATCTTCTCCATCTCTGACAATGCGTATCAGTTCATGCTCACAGGTAGGTTTCCAAGGAGGAAGCCTGGAGGCGGGGGGAGGGCTCAGGGAAGCTGCCATGCGATCCTGCACCCGCCCTGTCCAGTGTGCAGCCTCCATACAAAGGACAGGAGGGTGGAGGTGCTTAAAAAAGACGAAAGAGGCCACATATTTTAGGGGCTTGCAGGCCCTGGTGAGAAGTTTGGATTCAGTGCAAGCATGGGTTACCTCATACGAAACTGACATTTCTGTGGGCCCAAAGCAAAGACTGACAATTTCATATGGTTCAGCATAATACAGAGAGAAGCCCGTGGCTGGTTGTAAGCGGGGGCTTAACCTCTCTGGGCCTCATTCTCAAAGAGGAGTCTCTTCAAGCTCCCACCTAGGACTAAACAGGATGGTGGTGGGAAACTGAACCGTGCAGTGAACTCTGACTGCTGGAGACATGGCGGAAAACTGGGAAGCTCTTTTTATTACAATTTTTTTTCTTGGACTATAGTTGATTTACAGTGTTGTGTTAGTTTCTGGTGTACAGCAAAGTGATTCAGTTATATATATATATATATATATATTCTTTTTCAGATTCCTTTCCACTATGGTTTATTATAGGATACTGAATATAGCTCCCTGTGCTATACAGTAGGACCTTGTTGTTTAGTTTATATACAGTCGTTTGCATCTGCTAATCCCAAACTCCTAATTTATCCCTCCCCCACCCCCTTTCCCCTTTGGTAACCATAGGTTTGTTTTCTACCTATGTGAGTCTGTTTCTGTTTTGTACATAAGTTCATTTGTATCACATAATCACACATAGGTGATATCATATGGCATTTGTCTTTCTCTGTCTGACTTCTCACTTAGTATGATAATCTCTAGGTCCATCCGTGTTGCTGCAAATTACACTACTTCATTCTTTCGTATGGCTGAGAAGTATTCCAGAGTGTGTGTGTGTGTGTGTGTGTGTGTGTATATACACACACACACACCACCCACACACCTTCTTTATCCATTCCTCTGTCAATGGACATTTAGGTTGAGGAAGCTCTTCTTATATTGCTATCAACTCTATTTTATCTTTCCCTTTGGCAGATCGTGAAAACCAGTCTATTCTGATTACGTAAGTATCCAAGGTGTAGAGTGTTTTCATAGCTGTGGCCCTTTGTCCCCAGTGCAGAAGGGGAAGATGCCACTTGCTCTGTTTTGTTAATGAGAAAGTACCGAGAACGAAGTCTGTGATGCAAAGATGTGGGGCTGGGCGTTGGGGAGAGACGGGCAGGAAGGCCTGTGAGGCCTCAGGAAGCTGGAGCTCCCCATCCAGCCCGCTCAGCCGTGCCGGTCTCCCCCGGGGCCCCTGCCTCTCCGAGTGGTCTCACATTTGCTGGGAGGTGTGTGTCTGCTGTGGCTCGGGTGACATCTTAGGGGGCCAATTTACACTCACGGAACTTGTTTCTCTGTCTCTCTCTCTTTCGACTGCTCTGAATAGTGGAGAATCCGGGGCAGGAAAGACTGTGAACACCAAAAGGGTCATCCAGTACTTTGCAACAATTGCAGCGACTGGAGACCTCGCCAAGAAGAAGGACTCCAAAATGAGGGTATGGAGAGGAGAAAGGCTTGTTCTGCTTCCACTGCCAACCTTTGTCTTAACTTCAGAACGAGGGGGCACAGGGAGGCGACACCCCACCTCCACAAGGAAGGGAGAGCAGGCCAGGATTTAAAGTCTCACAGGACAGCCAGTTCTCCTAGACGACCCAGCATGTGGTTGATGTTACAGGACCAGATCCTGTGATTGCCTAGAAAACAAGCTTCTAAGGCTCCACTAAGAAGAGTCAGTTTGGGAGCAGCTCACATACACCAGAACCACACATACCAATTGGAGAGAACTGTAGTGTCTACTTGCCTTTCAAAACGAATATATTATAACAGTATGAAATGAACACCGATGATCTAGCTACCTGGAGAATCAAGGAGCTGAAGGGCTAAGTGAGGAGGTTTAGGTCAAGACACCCAGCTTGAGCCAAATCTAAGAATGGCAAGCGTGAGGCGTGCTGATGGTTTGGCTGGGCCCCAGATTGGAAAGCAGGGCAGGGAGGGTCTGGCGACCCGGGGCTGCAGGAGCGAAGGCAGCAGGTGCCGCGGAGCTCACTGTCGCGTGCGGCTCTTCCTGCCCCGACCCCCTGCTCCAGGGGACTCTGGAAGACCAGATCATCAGCGCCAACCCGCTGCTGGAGGCCTTCGGGAACGCCAAGACCGTGAGGAACGACAACTCGTCCCGCTTTGTGAGTTTGCACCGGCTCAAGCTGGGAGCTCCTCTGAGGCCCGCAAGTAGGCAAGGGCCCTGCTTCCAGGAGGCTGCAGTCCTGGGGGTGGACCGCGAAAGAAGGAAACAGATCAACAAGACAGTCTGGGACAAGGATTCCTTGGCAGACAGTGCAGTAAAGAGGGCGTGTGGTAGTGTACTGTGAGCCAGGTCTCCTTTAGACAGGGCTGGCAGGGAAGCCCAAGATCCACAGGATGAGGACAGGGGACTGGCGGGGTCAAGGGACCTCAGAGGGTCCGAGGGGCTGCAGCGAGGCAGGCAGCATGAGGGGAAGTGGGGAGGGGTGGCAGGGAGCGACCAGGAGCCTTGGAGTCTGTAGGCCAGGAGAAGGGGTTTGGGTTTCATTCAGGAAGCTACTGAGGGATCCTTTAAGAGGGAAGTGATATGGTGTGATTTGCATCTTGAACACAATCTCTCTTACTTTGTTGACCGTCTTGGGGGTGGGAGTGTAGGGGAGTGGCGTTTGGAGGCAGTGTGGAACAAGGGGATGGAGAAGGGAGACGCAGCCAACCGGAAAGAGGAGAGGGAGAGGGGGACATGCTTCACTTCAAATTACTGGGGAATAAGGTTCCCGTTCACATTACCCAGGAGGTGGGTAGGAACACCTGGAGTCACGGTACGCCTGGTCTCCCTTCCCCCACAGGGCAAGTTCATCCGAATCCATTTTGGTACCACGGGCAAGCTGGCCTCTGCAGATATTGAAACGTGTAAGTAGATCCCTGGGATCAGATGATGTCTCGGGACATCAGGGGAGCAGTTTGGAAAACAGTCCTGTGTTTGTGTTCCTAGATCTGCTGGAAAAATCGAGAGTAACCTTCCAGCTGAAGGCTGAGAGGAGCTACCACATCTTCTACCAGATTCTTTCCAACAAGAAGCCCGAGCTCATAGGTGAGGACGTCCCCAGAGGGGTTGGTCTGAGGCATTTCGGCTTTTGGGTGAGTGGACCAAAGAGAGTTGTGTGTATGCACAGGTGACTCGGCAGCCAGCAGGAAGCTTGCTTTAGAAATGGGATGCGGCTGTTTTGACGGTGACATGCCAATTTGAAAAACACAATCCAATGGACAGTAAAAGGCTGAGGCACAATTGGTTTATTCAGCTCTGGTTTATAGAAACTGGCCGAATGACCAAGCATGTAGTGGTCCTCTAGCGCCCCCTTGTGTTCTGGCACAGAAACCAACATTTCACCAAATGCTGTGAGGCCAACGCAAAATCAGATGAACCACCAGCTGGTGGATGTCCACCCTGCCCTTTGTCCCGCACCTAACAGGGGCCTGGTGCCCTTCTTTGCTCCCTGGCTGTGTCTGCTCAGCCTTCTGGGCCCAAGCCTGGAAATAGGCTGCAGCTTTTCAACAGGTTTTGGAAAAGACTGTGATTCTACCAAATGATCTGTGCTTCCCTCCCTGTGGCTCTGTCCTGGCCCACACTCGGCCAGTTTTCCCGATTAACCTTTCCCAACCGACATGGATCTGCGCCCTTTGCACGCAAAGCAAGAGAAGTTCAATATTCTCTCTGTGGTTCTTACCCTACATGGCCTGGACGGGCTGCAGAGTCTTCCCTGGACTTTATATTCTGCCACAGCTTGAGTATCGAGAGACTGTTTAAGAGATTTCTAACTACCCTCAGCCTGGGCCCCAGCAGCAAAAGTCTCAGCTGAGGACGCAGAAGCTGAAAGCCCCTAGTGGATGTTTTCTTTGCATCCATGTGACCTCCTCTAAATGGTCATCATTACAGAGCTGCTGCTTATTACAACCAACCCTTATGACTACCCGTTCATCAGCCAGGGTGAGATCCTGGTGGGCAGCATTGACGATGCGGAGGAGCTGCTGGCTACGGATGTAAGCAGACGGGGGGGGGAGGGGTGGGCGCGGGGCTGCTCCTCCATCACTGGGGTCAACCGGCTGACGTGCTGTCCTCCGATGCCAGAGCGCCATTGACATCCTGGGCTTCACCCCAGAGGAGAAGTGTGGACTCTACAAGCTGACAGGCGCCGTGATGCACTACGGGAACATGAAGTTCAAGCAGAAGCAGCGGGAGGAGCAGGCAGAGCCAGACGGCACTGAAGGTACCACGTCACCGCGGCGACCGCGCGCCAGGGCCAGGGGGCGTCCAGCTGAGGTCGCTCGGTGCCTTTTTTTTTGCCGTACGCGGGTCTCTCACTGTCGTGGCCTCTCCCGTTGCGGAGCACAGGCTCCGAACGCACAGGCCCAGCCACTCCGCGGCATGTGGGATCTTCCTGGACCGGGGCATGAACCCGAGTCCCCTGCATCGGCAGGCGGACTCTCAACCACTGCACCACCAGGGAAGCCCCTCAGGGCCTCTTTTGAAAGCGCTTACTCCTCCTCCTGCCTAGAGAGGCGAACCTCTTCAGGGCTCAGATGCCTACAGGCACGGTTACTGCCCCGTCTGCTGAATCACTAGAATGGTCCTGCCTCAGATACAGTAAGGAGTGACCAGGGTTTTCTGGAACCCAGTGCCGCCTTTTCATAAAATCTATCATATTCTCTGAGTGACTCAGCTCCCACCGGCCACAGGTAAGCAGTTTAGAGACACGGAATGTAAACACATGAAGATGGGCTGAGCCGAGCGTGGAAACATCCGGATGACTTTCAGAGTGGCTCTTCCGCTTTGCCAAGCATCAGGGGTTTCCCTTGTAATCAGCCTTCTTTTCCTGCCAGTGGCTGACAAGACAGCCTATCTGATGGGCCTGAACTCTTCGGACCTCCTGAAAGCTTTGTGCTTCCCCAGAGTGAAAGTTGGGAACGAGTATGTTACCAAGGGCCAGACTGTGGACCAGGTAAGTGGCTGCCGCAGGCTGGGAAAGGACGCGGCACCCGACGGCCGCTGCCTCCAGACTCACCGGCTGGCCCCTCCGCACAGGTGCACCATGCCGTGAACGCCCTCTCCAAGTCCGTCTACGAGAAGCTGTTCCTGTGGATGGTCACCCGCATCAACCAGCAGCTGGACACCAAACTGCCCAGACAGCACTTCATTGGCGTCCTGGACATCGCGGGCTTTGAGATCTTTGAGGTTTGTGTTATACTCGTTTGGCTTTGTGCTGGGGGCTGGTTTTCGTGATCCTATAGGCAAGATGTCAAGGCAGCCCACACGTCATCCAGCATCACATCTTGGAGGAAAACGAGATGGAGGGTGGATCAGGTAGAAGAGAACGTGGAAGGGTTTGTATTATTTTAAGAGGGAGGAAGGCTTGTGTCAAGTGGAATTTTAAAGACATCCTCAAACGGATAAAAGAAAACAAAAAATCAAATGCAATTACTGACAATAGGGAGAGCCAGAAACAGAGAAGAAGTTGACAATAAGCCAACCATGCGATGTTTTACATAAATATCCTACTGGCTCTGGGTTAGAAGCACGTAGCCATTCATCGAAGCATATGTTTGGTGTCTGCCAGGTATAAGACTTGCAGGTGAAAAAAAGATGAGCTTGTAGTTTGTAGAGGACAACGAGAAGTACGTAAGGCACACAGAAGACCAACTACAGATAAGGCAGGCCGTGGCCAGCGCCCAGGAGAGGCCCAGACCGTGGACTCAGGAGAAGCATCTTCCAGCTGGAAATCAGAGAAGACTCCAAGGACGTGTGGTCTCCGCTGAGCCCAAGAGTGTGCCCATTCCTGAAAGCATAAATGAGCTGGCGAGAGCCCGAGACCATGAGGAGGAAGGCTGATGCGTGTTTGGTTTTGAAAGAAGTCTAACTTTTCATGTGAACCTTATGTTTTGGTGTTAGTACAACAGCCTGGAGCAGCTGTGCATCAACTTCACCAACGAGAAGCTGCAGCAGTTCTTCAACCACCACATGTTCGTGCTGGAGCAGGAGGAGTACAAGAAGGAGGGCATCGAGTGGGAGTTCATCGACTTCGGGATGGACCTGGCCGCCTGCATTGAGCTCATCGAGAAGGTACCTGCTGTGTGCACTCAGCAGCCGCCCCTCGCCGACCTGCTGCTTGACACTGCAGCTCATACCCGCCCCGTATGCACTCTGCCTTGGTCCAGCCGATGGGCATCTTCTCCATCCTGGAAGAGGAGTGCATGTTCCCCAAGGCCACAGACACCTCCTTCAAGAACAAGCTGTATGACCAGCACCTGGGCAAGTCCAGCAACTTCCAGAAGCCCAAGGCGGTCAAGGGCAGGGCCGAGGCCCACTTCTCGCTGATCCACTATGCGGGCACCGTGGACTACAGCGTCTCGGGCTGGCTGGAGAAGAACAAGGACCCCCTGAACGAGACGGTGGTCGGCCTGTACCAGAAGTCCTCCAACAGGCTCCTGGCACACCTCTACGCCACCTTCGCCACAGCAGACGGTAACAGACTCCGCGGGGTGCCTTGGACCCGCACTTTTTCACTCCACCAGCCCACGGGGCTGGAGCAGCTCTGCAGGTCTGCTAGCAGCACACGCCGTCTTTTCTTTCTTTCAGCTGATGGTGGGAAGAAGAAAGCTGCCAAGAAAAAGGGCTCTTCCTTCCAGACCGTCTCTGCCCTCTTCAGGGTAAGAAAGATACAGATTTATTTGCTTGTACTTGGTTTAAGTCATCTCAAAACGAGCAACGCAGAGATGCTAAACTTGACTCACTCAAGAACAGTGATGTGGTCTTAATCTGGTTACTGTCACTTAGGGAGGGTGAGTGGCAGTATGATGATATACAGATGAGGTCTAATAAATGGAGGACCGGAACTGAACTATCACTTTAAACGGCATCAGCTGCGTGTGCCGGCCGGCCTGGGAGGCGAGTCCTCAGTACAGACTTTCCGACTTGCCTGAAGGACACAGGCAGTAGCATGTCCTGTGCCCAGTGGAGCTGGATACTCCTCTTGAGTTGATTTCAGAGGCATTTTGTACTTGGTTAGTCTCTGGTGGTTCACTGTGAAGCAAAAGTCTGTTTTATCAGTTATTCGCCTACACTTCTAGCCAAAAGATTATTAAAAGAGAAAGTTAAATAATACCTTTATTCCTTAGAATTTATGATAAATTTAGAATACATACCTTACTTTTTTGTTACAATATATCTCCGTGTCTCTAAAAGCCTATAGTAGGCTCACTATCAAATTTAATCTTTTTCTTTTAGGAAAACCTGAACAAGCTGATGTCAAATTTAAGAACAACCCACCCTCACTTTGTGCGCTGTATAATTCCCAACGAAACCAAAACCCCAGGTAAGACACCCGCTGGCTCTGAAGGTGGCACTCAGGTTTTAGGAGGTTCTGTGTGAAGCTGACGTTTGTTGCTTCTCTTCTCAGGGGCCATGGAGCACAGCCTTGTCCTGCACCAGCTGCGCTGTAATGGTGTCCTGGAAGGAATCCGCATCTGCAGGAAGGGGTTCCCAAACAGGATTCTCTATGGGGATTTTAAACAAAGGTGTGTGATAAAAATGTTCTATTTGCTTCTTGAGAAGATGTGTAAATGCTGGAACTTGAGAGGGAGGAATAGTAGTATGAAAAGACCCGTTTCAGAAGAACAGCTATGGACTCCACGTAGCCAAGGTATACAGTTTTCTCCCACATTTTCTCAGGAGCTTATCTGATATACAACACGTCAGAAAAACACCTGGCCTAAGAGTCAGTAGGCCTAGATTCTAGGCCACTATCTGGCCTGTGACCAAGAGCAAGCTTCCCTCTCTCTCTGGACCTTGGCCTTCTTGCCTCTTGGAAGAGAGGCCTGAACTGGTTTCCAAAGTTCACGTCTTTGCTAATGGTCTACGATGTTTCTGTGTCCACAACGGCAGATACCGAGTGCTGAATGCCAGCGCCATCCCTGAGGGGCAGTTCATCGACAGCAAGAAGGCGTGTGAAAAGCTGCTGGCATCCATCGACATTGATCACACTCAGTACAAGTTTGGACACACCAAGGTACTGCATCAGCTCTGACAGATGTTGGCGGGTGGTCCCCGTTAGACTTCTCCGGAAAACTGACTCAAGTCATCCTTCTCCCCTCAAGGTGTTCTTCAAGGCTGGCTTGCTGGGAACCCTGGAGGAAATGCGGGATGACCGCCTGGCCAAGCTGATCACCCGGACGCAAGCTGTGTGCAGAGGGTTCCTCATGCGCGTGGAATTCCAGAAGATGGTGCAGAGAAGGTCGAGTGGGGTCTGTGCTCAGACCTGAGCTCTTCGGGAGAAGTGGGGAGTCTCTCTTAGAAAAACACTGATGTTTTGTTTTTTAGGGAGTCCATCTTCTGCATCCAGTACAACATCCGAGCCTTCATGAACGTCAAGCACTGGCCCTGGATGAAACTCTTCTTCAAGATCAAGCCCCTTCTCAAGAGCGCAGAAACCGAGAAGGAGATGGCCACCATGAAGGAAGAGTTCCAGAAAACCAAAGATGAACTCGCCAAGTCAGAGGCCAAAAGGAAGGAACTGGAGGAAAAACTGGTGACTCTAGTACAAGAGAAGAATGACCTGCAGCTCCAAGTACAAGCTGTAGGTGTTTAGGAATTTTTTTAAAACTTTCCTTCTAGATTTGATTAGTTAAGAAAATGACTTTTGGTGGGAGTTTTGCTTTTTAGTTGCGATGCTGCGTAAAGGACCTCGTATATAACAAAATACTGGAATGTCACAAATCTTATCTTTTAACCATTAAAGGAAATGATATATTTTTTTCTTTTTTTAAGGAAAGTGAAAACTTGTTGGATGCAGAGGAAAGATGTGATCAACTGATCAAAGCCAAGTTCCAGCTGGAGGCAAAGATCAAGGAGGTGACTGAGAGAGCTGAGGATGAGGAAGAGATCAATGCTGAGCTGACGGCCAAGAAGAGGAAACTGGAGGACGAATGTTCGGAACTGAAGAAAGACATAGATGACCTTGAGCTGACACTGGCCAAGGTTGAGAAGGAGAAACATGCCACAGAGAACAAGGTGGTACACTCTCTGTGGGCCCTTCCAGCTTGATGTGGTCAATGCAAACCCGACTTGATCTCTTCTTATAATTGCTTGTGGCTTCTTCTTAGGTTAAAAACCTTACTGAGGAACTCGCTGGTTTGGATGAAACCATTGCAAAGTTAACCAGGGAGAAGAAAGCCCTCCAAGAGGCCCACCAGCAGACCCTGGATGACCTCCAGGCTGAAGAAGACAAAGTCAATTCCTTGAGCAAAATCAAGAGTAAACTGGAACAGCAGGTGGATGACGTGAGTAAAGGATGCTAGTCGGGAGGCCTGGGCCTCAGGGTGGGAAGAGCCCCCGAGAACCCTCTGGTGCAAAGCATTTGTTCTCAAAAGGAAACGGTGCCTTTTGCAGCTGGAAAGCTCCCTAGAACAAGAAAAGAAGCTTCGTGTAGACCTGGAAAGGAACAAAAGGAAGCTTGAGGGAGACCTGAAGCTTGCCCACGAGTCCATATTGGATCTGGAGAATGACAAGCAACAGCTGGATGAAAGGCTCAAGAAGTGCGCCCTGAAACCACCGAGTTCAGCTTTCCAGTTCCCGGGCATTTGGTCTTCACACGTTCTGCATTTCCCTTCACAGGAAGGATTTCGAGTACAGTCAGCTGCAAAGCAAAGTGGAAGATGAGCAGACTCTGGGCCTGCAGTTTCAGAAGAAAATCAAAGAGCTACAGGTAGGAGGCGTTTGGGACTTTTCTTTCACACGTGGTCACGTACAGTGGGTGGGGGGTGTCTATTGCACGTCATTAGAGCAAAGCGGGCAGGACCGTGGGTCTCCTTTCTGCTAGGCTGACACAGTAGTGATGAACAGTTTTTCCGTAACTGTTGACAAAGCACATAACTGAAGTATTTGAAGTCCACGTGCAGTTGGAATGGACTATATCCTGGGTGGCCGCTGCAGGGGTAATGCCTGTGTCGAGGCAGAAAAAACTCGTGTCAGAGGAAATTTGCAGCATTGGTATCGTTCGGGGAGCAGTCCGAGAGCGGTTTGTCTAATGGGAGGGGAAACTAGCCTGGTGTTGACACTGGAAGTCAGGAGTGTCGTGGGGCGGCCTGCCCTCACAGGCCCGCATCGAGGAGCTGGAGGAGGAGATCGAGGCAGAGCGGGCCTCCCGTGCCAAAGCTGAGAAGCAGCGCTCGGACCTCTCCCGGGAGCTGGAGGAGATCAGCGAGCGGCTGGAGGAGGCGGGCGGCGTCACATCCACCCAGATAGAGCTCAACAAGAAGCGGGAGGCCGAGTTCCTGAAGCTGCGCCGGGACCTGGAGGAGGCCACCCTGCAGCACGAGGCCACGGCGGCCACGCTGAGGAAGAAGCACGCGGACAGTGTGGCCGAGCTGGGGGAGCAGATTGACAACCTGCAGAGGGTCAAGCAGAAGCTGGAGAAGGAGAAGAGTGAGTTCAAGCTGGAGCTCGACGACCTCGGCAGCAACGTGGAGAGCGTGTCCAAGTCCAAGGTGCGGGGTGGGGGGCGCCTCATCCTCAGGTGAGGGGGACCCTGTGTCCTTCCCACCTGATCGCTGACTCAGCTTCCTCCCCCTTCTCAACCCTGCAGGCGAATCTGGAGAAAATGTGCCGCACTCTGGAGGATCAGTTAAGCGAGGCCAGGGGCAAGAACGAGGAATGTCAGAGGAGCCTGAGTGAACTGACCGCACAGAAGGCACGTCTGCAGACGGAGGCCGGTGAGCGCCGGGAAACGGCGGGGGCGGTGCCTCCTGGACACCCACAGAGGGCAACTGGTCAGAACGAAAGGCAGGGTTTGTTTGGGGGAGGATTTCTAGGGAAGCAGATTTTCAGGAGAGAGGCAATCAGAATAACCCACGAAAGCGCCATTTAGAATGTCCCAAAGGAGGAGAGCACTGAAAGTTCAGTAAGAAGGAGAGAGACACGGACTGGAATGAGGAGGGACCCAAAACACCACCTGCTTCAAGCGCTTTCAAAATTAATGTAACCCTGCCTCAAAAAGAACCTAGAGGGCAGAAGTGGGACTAGGAACCAAGTCCCATGGCTTTGCTACTTCTCGCTGCACATTAATGCAGATTCGTTGTCTGCAATGGAGCATTTTAAACAGTAAAGAAAGAACCACGGCCAATTTGTATAGGCTCTTGGTGTGTGATAAAAATACAGGGGAACATTATCCGGGACTTCCACCTAGAAAACATGGCTCCCCCGGCGCTGGTCCTCCAGCCCATCATCACAGGTGAACCAGTCCTTTGTAGCAGCTCGACTGAGACAGTGACAAAAAGAAGTTCAGGGGCCACTTCTACCATGATCTTGGGAGTTCACCCCTGGAGTCCGAAGGCCTCTCCCCCACCTTGTTTTTCTCCTGCCTCTACGTAAGCATATAAACCAGAACCACCGTAGCCACCCAAAAATCCAGCTTCAAACTACTGAAGCTAGAAGTCCTAAGGAACGCAGCAAAGAGATGCAGTATTTCCCCCAGTGACAAATCAGCAAACAGCTGGAAGCACCAGCCACTGAAAGGTCTGATGGGAGTGTTTAGGTGGTGAGGTTTTGGTTTACAATTCTTCTTAAGTTTTATTGACAAAAGTTACTCCATGCTTCTGGAATTTTACAACAGTATCTTACCAGGGTGTGCTTTCAGTTTCCTCTTCACGGACACATCCCTTCACCCCCAAGAAAGGACCACATCTTGTAATTTACTCTCTCCCCATATCTCAGCACAGTGCCTTACATACAGTAGGAACCTGGTGAGTGAGTGAATGAAGTGAAAATAATTCCCTTCTGGACACAGGTGAGCTGAATCGTCAACTGGAAGAAAAGGAGAGCATAGTATCGCAGCTTTCCAGAAGCAAGCAAGCATTTACCCAGCAAGTAGAAGAGCTCAAGAGGCAGTTAGAGGAAGAGAGCAAGGTACGTCCGCAGAGGGAGCACTCCCCGACCTAGCCTTCCAGTACCACCTGCAGAAACAAAAGGCAGCTCTACTCATAGGTGATGACAGCGGGAGCACACTTGGATTGCATCATGCACACGGCACTAAAATGGTCATCCGCTGGGGCCTCTCCTCTGTCCTGACTTTTGCAGGCCAAGAGCGCCCTGGCCCACGCCCTACAGTCCTCCCGCCACGACTGTGACCTGCTGCGGGAACAGTATGAGGAGGAGCAGGAAGCCAAGGCTGAGATGCAGAGGGCGCTGTCCAAGGCCAACAGCGAGGTGGCCCAGTGGAGGACCAAATACGAGACGGACGCCATCCAGCGCACGGAGGAGCTGGAGGAGGCCAAGTACACAACCCTATCTGTCTTCAGAAGAAATAGAACTCCTAGATGATCAAGTGACAGAAGGCACCAACTTTAGAACTACTCGCGAGTGAATTTGTTACGATGTTTTCCCATCTTCTATGTCTTTTAAGGCAGTTCTGTGCCAGTAGAGGGAGGCGGTGTTAGCACATTTCATTGAGACAAACGACTCTGACCTTGGTTAGAGAAAAGGCAGGCTATTGGTCACTGGTTTTTAGCAGACAGGAAGTTCTCCTGGGCTTATGAAAGGAAATCGGCGTTTGAATCACATAAATTAGTGATTCCAACTTGGTGAATAGTGATGTTCAGTAGGATTGAAACTTAAAGCATCTGCTTCTCTTTCACATTCTTCAAGGAAAAAGCTCGCTCAGCGCCTTCAGGATTCCGAGGAGCAGGTTGAGGCGGTGAACGCTAAGTGCGCTTCCCTGGAGAAGACCAGGCAGAGGCTGCAAGCAGAGGTGGAGGACCTGATGGGCGATGTGGACAGAGCCAACTCCCTGGCTGCCGCTCTGGACAAGAAGCAGAGGAACTTTGACAAGGTATGGGGTGAGCTCCCTGCCGGGTGAGCACCGTGACACAGCGGTACCGGGTGGTACCTGACTCTGCCCCAGTAGCAGTGTGACCTCAGGCAAGCCCCTGAAACAGAACAGGAGTGGGATGCGGCGGTGGGGGGGGGGTCCCTTTCAAACACTGTCAGTGGAAACAAGCCACCGCCTCGAATGCTGCCAGTCCCGAGCGTTTTTGTACCCCCACACGCTGGTCTGTCTGCGGGGGCTGATGTGGGAATCCAACTCGGGTCCCACTGCGAGGCTTTGTGACAGCGCCCCCTTCAGTATGACAGGTAAGGTTGCTTTGAAACAAAGTTTTAATGAAATACTTAGAAGTACAGGGCCGTTTTCATATTAGGAAAGGGCAGTTCGGCCCAGCTAATTCCTTCTCAAAGGATCCACTTGCTTTTCATCAAGGGCAGCTGTTACTGACCAGTGACTGATCTGGAAATCTTGGTTAGCCAGCAGTCAGGAACAAGGGGTTAGGCAAGTGACGTGGCAGAGGCGGCCCCAGCTCCCAGACTGCTCCCCCTCGCGGGCGTACTTAGATAGAAACTAGCCGAGAGGCGCTCGTCAACAGAGGTGCCGCCTTCCTCCCCGGTGCTGCAGGTGCTCGCTGAATGGAAAACCAAGTGTGAGGAGAGCCAGGCAGAGCTGGAGGCATCTCTGAAGGAATCCCGCTCCCTGAGTACTGAGCTCTTCAAACTGAAAAATGCCTATGAAGAAGCCTTAGATCAACTTGAAACTGTGAAACGGGAAAATAAGAATTTAGAGCGTAAGCAATTTGTCTGAAATCCTGCTTCATGCTATTGCCAGAGCGTGGGGCTGGAGGTCCGTGACTGCAGGACCCAAACCCCTACACGAGAATCCGTTACTGCACACACAGGAAGTGGTCAGATCCGAGGGGTTGTTTCTGAGTCTCTCTATATACAGTATCTTATCTCTAGGAAACAGCATCCTTAGAACTATGATAGACTAGTTAAAAGCATTCGGTTGGTGCTTACTCTGCCTGGAAAACTGCACGGAGAACATTCCGAGGCAACCAAACCTCTTTCTTTGCAGAGGAGATAGCCGATCTCACAGAACAAATTGCCGAAAACGGTAAAACCATCCATGAACTGGAGAAATCAAGAAAGCAGATCGAGCTGGAAAAGGCTGATATCCAACTGGCCCTTGAGGAAGCAGAGGTGAGCAGAACGCCGGCGAGGCACTGGCCTGGAACAGAGACTATGATGGTGGGGCTCCAGCTTGGGAGGCCAGGCGGCCCCGATCTGGGTCTGTAAAGTCACAGTCCTAACGCCGGCCCCTTTCCTATCAATGTGCATGGACGAATACCTGTGAATTATCTTGAACTTACTGGAGAAAATCATTATGTTAAAATAGGTCTAAAAATGAGATTTTACAAAAATCTTAGATGAATTCAAAATATCTATAAAGTGCCTTAAGCGCCTAAGAAATGTGATGATTTAAATGTTAGTATAATAAAAACAAAGTGCAATGAAACATCTTATTTCTGCACTGAAGGTAAGTTAGGGATTTTTTAAAAAAGAGTTTTGAATATTGCAGAGTTAGAATTACAAACATTCTATTGGAGGTTTTTTTGCCCCAAAGAGTAGCGTAGCAGGCTCTCTCCCATCACTGGTACCATTTCTGTCTTGTTCTTGTTCTTCAAAGGCCGCTCTTGAGCATGAAGAGGCCAAGATCCTCCGAATCCAGCTGGAACTCTCACAAGTGAAATCAGAAATCGATAGAAAGGTGGCCGAGAAAGACGAAGAGATCGAGCAGCTGAAGAGGAACTACCAGAGAGCAGCAGAGACGATGCAGAGCGCCCTGGACGCCGAGGTGCGGAGCCGGAATGAGGCCATCAGGATCAAGAAGAAGATGGAGGGGGACCTGAACGAAATCGAGATCCAGCTGAGCCACGCCAACCGCCAGGCCGCAGAGACCCTCAAACACCTCCGGAGCGTCCAGGGGCAGCTGAAGGTTTGCGCACTCCCGGTGGGAAGCCTCTCCCATTCTCAGACACGCCAGCTGTCAGCTGGGCTCATGGTCCTCAGGCCTCAACTTCAGCCGGACGTTTCTGTTACTGTCTGGCCAGGATACCCAGCTCCACCTGGATGACGCTCTCCGGGGCCAGGAGGACCTGAAGGAGCAGCTGGCGATCGTGGAGCGCAGAGCCAACCTGCTGCAGGCCGAGATCGAGGAGCTGCGGGCCACCCTGGAGCAGACGGAGAGGAGCAGGAAGACAGCGGAGCAGGAGCTCCTGGACACCAGCGAGCGCGTCCAGCTCCTGCACACCCAGGTGGGGGAGGGGAGGGGGGCGGGGCGGGGCGGGGCCCCTGCGCTCCGGCGCGCCTGGCTAAACCCCCTCCTCCCGTCCCAGAACACCAGTCTCATCCACACCAAGAAGAAGCTGGAGACAGACCTCCTGCAGCTCCAGAGCGAGGTGGAGGATGCCAGCAGGGACGCGAGGAGCGCTGAAGAGAAAGCGAAGAAGGCCATCACGGACGTGAGGCTCCTCCCTGCCCTGCGTGGCTGCCAGGATTGCATTTCATCCAAGCCCCCTTCCTCTCCAACCCATTAGACAGGGTGGGGCCTTCCCAGGGCACACGTGGTGTGAGTTCTGCTCCAGAAGCGCTCCCCACCTCCCCGGACAGTCAACATGTCTCCTCCCGCACGTTTAAATAGTGGACATGAGAAATAAGGGAGTGTGGATAAAAAAAGACCAGAAGGAATTATATTCCTTTCTTATGCCCTTGGAGAGGTATGCTCTTCTTTCCTTCAACGTATGACTGATTCCAAATATAAAAATGAGACCCTCAGACGTCAGGATCCCACCAAATGTCACCTTACAGGAAGCTGGCTTCCCTCCCACCGGCACCCAGCCTTCCTGCTCCAGAGGCCTTGGTTCTGGGCTCGTGGCCCCCACAGCGCCACCTGCTGCTCGATGGAGGGCACAACCTCGTGACGATTCCTCCCTGCTTGCTCAGGCACCCCCAGTTCCCTAGAGGCCTTCCCTTAGCCCCATTACCCCACACCCGTGATGCTAGGTTATGAACTGAGAATTCTCTAAGTCACGGGTTGGTGATAATGGTGATAAGGAAAGAAGGAATCTCCTTGGAGCTAGGGAGGTCCCAAGGAGGCCAGTTTAAGAAAGGGAAGAAACTATTTCCCATCCAGCCCTTGAAGGTTTCACTTCTTAGTTTATGCTACATGCCTGGTGCAGCTCTTCTCAGATCCCATGGTGGAACAGTGGGCTCAGTCATCCCGTTACCTATTGTCCTTTGTCATCAGCATGGCTCTGGTCCTCCGGGTACCCAGATTTCAACAGCTCCAAGCACTTGACCTTGGTCTGCATCTGAGTGGGATGATGTGCTTTTCAGGCGGCCATGATGGCCGAGGAGCTGAAGAAGGAGCAGGACACCAGCGCCCACCTGGAGCGGATGAAGAAGAACCTGGAGCAGACGGTGAAGGACCTACAGCACCGCCTGGACGAGGCTGAGCAGCTGGCCCTGAAGGGCGGGAAGAAGCAGATCCAGAAGCTGGAGGCGCGGGTACTTGCAGGACAGGCCCCAGCCTACGCAGAGCCTTCTGGCCTCTCCCGTTCGTGCTCCAGCCCCAGACTAATTTACACACGTTCCCCCAGATCCGAGAGCTGGAGTTTGAGCTTGAAGGGGAGCAGAAGAAGAACACCGAGTCTGTCAAGGGCCTGAGGAAGTATGAGCGGCGGGTCAAGGAGTTAACTTACCAGGCAAGTGGAAAGAAACCCCACGGGCATTTCCTCTGTGAAGTGCGAACACCTTCCCGGGTCCTCTCTCCAGAAAACAGGGAGAAATCCTTTAGCCCCAGAGAGAACTGGGACCTCTTGCATCCCTGCCGGCCCCTGGCTAAGTACTGTCCCATGTTCTCTCTTTCAGTGCGAAGAGGACAGGAAGAACGTGGTGAGATTACAGGATCTGGTGGACAAACTTCAAGTGAAGGTCAAGTCCTACAAGAGGCAGGCCGAGGAGGCTGTAAGTCCGCGGGACCCCAGCGCGGCGCCTGGCCTGTTTCCCCCTGCGAGCCCCAGAGAGGCGCTCGCTGATCGTACCCGCCCCGGCTCTTTGCTTTTAGGATGAACAAGCCAACGCTCATCTCACCAAGTTCCGGAAAGCTCAGCATGAGCTGGAGGAGGCTGAAGAACGGGCCGATATTGCCGAATCTCAAGTCAATAAGCTCCGCGCGAAGACCAGAGACTTCACCTCCAGCCGAGTAGGTGGCCCCGCGGCACGGGGTGGGGAGGGCGATGCAGCGGGAGGTGCGGCTCCCGGGGAGGAACCCGCCGTGATGGACGGGACCTTGGAGAACCTTCGACTTTAGAACTGGTCAGTCTCGGGCTCAGGAAAGGAAAGGATTTGCTTAAAGCCACGTAGCTGGTGTAGAGCCCGGCTAAACCCCGGTCTGTGAGTCCCAGTAGAACACCGTCCTGAAAAGCGGCGAGCGGTTCCTGCGTGGGCTCGGGCGCCCTCTGCCGGCCGGCCGCCGTCTCTGCGCCCACTGTAGGTGTAGGTTCCTAGATCCCTGGGCTATTCTGAGGACCAGGCTCTCAGGCTGTGGGGTGACTGCCGCCACGTCTGCACTCGTGTATCCGCCTGCGATCCAAGGAATATCCCGTGTCCCGCTGAAACAGACAAGCAAGCAACCCCAGATGCTCGCTGGGAGGGGGCGTGGCCGGAAATGCGGCTCTGCCATCTGACAGAACTCAAGATGCCCACTTTCTCCCCAGATGGTGGTCCATGAGAGTGAAGAGTGAGTGATCCTACGCTGGAACAGGACAGAAAATATGCGAAATATGTATTTTCATGGTTCCTGACCCTTAATTTCCATGTGATTGCTTTTCACATGCAATAAATTTTGCTTTGTTTTCAATTTGGGGCTGTGTCATTGTATTTGTTTTCTCTTCCCGGTGTGGAAATGGTTCGTTGGTGGTATTTATGCCCAATGTTGAAATCTCGGTATGCAGATGACTCAATAAAGTCATTTGGCCTATTTTCAGGTGCATGTATGTGGGGACAGGGAGAGACTGCTTTTGGTTTAAATTTGAGATTAGGGCAGAAATAAAAAGTACTCCTAGGTTAACCACTGCTTTGGTGGAAGGAGGGGGAGATTGTCCAAAGAGTCATCTCCCAACTATGACAAGGGGGACATACAAAGGTTTGGTTCAGGAAAGCCCCGTCTCAAGTTGAATAGGGTTTTAAGGCAGAAGCCAGAGTCCCCCTACATCTTCTCAGAGAACTACCCTGGAATCTAACAAAAGTTTGTCAGGCAGCTCCACACAGTGCCGTGCTAACTAACTACTAGGAATACACAAATGAGTAAAACAGCATCTGGTCCCTCCAAGAACTCACAGTAAATCTACCACTGAGGTGCTGGGAGAGTTGGACAGCTACATGTAAAAGAGTGAGATTAGAACACTCCCTAACACCATACACACAAATAATAAAATAAACGGGTTACAGACCTAAATGTAAGGCCAGACACTATAAAACTCTTAGAGGAAAACAGAGAACACTCTATGACCTAAATCACAGCAAGATCCTTTTTGACCCACCTCCTAGAGAAATGGAAATAAAAACAAAAATAAACAAATGGGACCTAATGAAACTTCAAAGCTTTTGCACAACAAAGGAAACCATAAGCAAGACGAAAAGACAACCCTCAGAATGGGAAAAAAATATTTGCAAATGAAGCAACTGACAAAGGATTAATCTCCAAAATATACAAGCAGCTCATGCAACTCAGTATTAAAAAAAAAAAACCCGGGTTCCCCTGGTGGCACAGCGGTTGAGAGTCCGCCTGCCGATGCAGGGGACGCGGGTTCGTGCCCCGGTCTGGGAAGATCCCACATGCCGCAGAGCGGCTGGGCCCGTGAGCCATGGCCGCTGAGCCTGCGCATCCGGAGCCTGTGCTCCGCAACGCGAGAGGCCACGACAGTGAGAGGCCCGTGTATCGCAAAAAACAAAACAAAAAAACAACCCAATCCAAAAATGGGCAGAAGCTCTAAAGAGACGTTTCTCCAAAGAAGATATACAGATTGCCAACAAACACATGAAAGGATGCTCAACATCACTAATCATTAGAGAAATGCAAATCAAAACTACGATGAGGTATCACCTCACACTGGTCAGAATGGCCATCATCAAAAAAATCTACAAACAATAAATGCTGGAGAGGGTGTGGAGAAAAGGGAACCTTCTTGTACTGTTGGTGGGAATGTAAATTCATACAGCCACTATGGAGAACAGTATGGAGGTTCCTTAAAAAACTAAAAACTACCATATGACCTAGCAATCCCACTACTGGGCATATACCCTGAGAAAACCATAATTCAAAAAGAGTCACATACCACAATGTTCATTGCAGCTCTATTTACGATAGCCAGGACATGGAAGCAACCTAAGTGTCCATAGACAGATGAATGGATAAAGAAGATGTGGCACATATATACAATGGAATATTAGTCAGCCATATAAAGAAACGAAATTGAGTTATTTGTAGTGAGGTGGATAGACCTAGAGTCTGTCATACAGAGTGAAGTAAGTCAGAAAGAGAAAAACAAATACCATATGCTAACACATATATATGGAATGTAAAAAAACAAAACAAGACAAAAAACGGTTCTGAAGAACCTAGGGTCAGGACAGGAATAAACATGCAGAAGTAGAGAATGGACTTGAGGACACGGGGAGGGAGCAGGGTAATCTGGGACGAAGTGAGAGAGTGGCACGGGCATATATATACACCACCAAATGTAAAATAGATAGTGGGAAGCAGCCGCATAGCACAGGGAGATCAGCTCGGTGCTTTGTGACCACCTAGAGGGGTGGGATAGGGAGGGTGGGAGGGAAATGCAAGAGGGAGGGGATATGGGGATATATGTATATGTATAACTGATTCACTTTGTTATACAGCAGAAACTAACACACTATTGTAAAGCAATTATACTCCAGTAAAGATGTTAAAAAAAATTTTTAAAAAACTACTGAGTTCTTGGCTCAGTCTCCACTGTTTCAAAGCCGCGCAACAGAAAATCTCACCCTTTATCCAGGGTAAAACTGTCTTTAGCATAAGGGAAAATACAGCAGGAAGTCAGAAAACTACCTGGATGACCTACTACCGGAAACGTAGAATCATTTGTTCGTCGTTATCAGAAATAGTTGTCAAGTTCGCTTCTTTATCTGATTCTAGGTGATTAGATGACCCAGCTTGACTTAGGAGGAGTTCAAGGCCCAGGGGAGTTCAGCACCTCCTGGGATTTGTCATTCTACAGGAAGAAGGTCACTATGGATGTCAGATTTGGCCTATCAGTGATTTCAGATAATTTTACCTCAAAGACCACATCTCTTTGATGTGCTTTCAATGCTTTCTGGCAACAATGTGACTAGAAAGTGGCGTGGCCTCCTGGTGGTGGCTGTTGCTGAGAGGAAATCACAGCAATGAGAACAGGCCTGGTCCTGACCCTGGCCTGAGGCTGGGCCCAAAGGGCTGCAGTTGCTCAGAGCCTCTCAGTCCGTACAAGGACAGCTATAAGCTGCCTTCTGGGGAAAGTGGGGAATAGAAAAAGAAAATGAAGCTTCTCCTTACAAAGGTATTCAAACTGGTAGATGAGGAATGAAAATGAAAGACCTGGTATGTCACCACTGTAATATGAATTATGAACCCCTGATGAATTATGGCTACTAGCGTCACAAAAATAAGACAACCGGACGTGACACGCCTCCTGACAGAAGTATATACACCACCGCCCAGGAAGAATTCCTGCCAGCAATCTAACAGGGGTCTGATCAAGACCCTAAATGTGTCCACCAACTTACAGGAAAAGCAGAAACAGACCAAGATACAACCAATAAACTCCAGGATATGAGGAACTCAACTGAACACAACATCTAGTTTTTTCAATACATAAATGGCAAGGAGAAATACATTAAAGAAATGGAAGGGGGACACTATAGATTAAAGGAGACTTAGACCTACCCCCCAACTGCTCTGCCTGGACCTTGTTAGGACACACACATGCATATTCCATCTGGTAAAATTCGAATACTGACGGGATATTCGACGATGATATGGGATTATTGTTCATTTTCAAGGTAATATTGTGATTATGATTTCTAAAATAGTCCTTATCTTTAAAAAATACATAATAAAATACAGGTAAGAGGGACTTCCCTGGTGGCACAATGGTTAAGACTCCGAGCTCCCAATGCGGGGGCCCAGGGTTCAATCCCTGCTCAGGGAACTAGATCCCACATGCATGCCACAACTAAGGAGCCCACCTGCCACAACTAATGAGCCCAAGTGCCGCAACTAAGGAGGTGGTGCTGCCTGCAACTAAGGAACCCGCTTCCCACAACAAAGGAGCTTGCCTGCTGCAACTAAGACCCGGTGCAACCAAATAAATAAATATTTTTAAAAAAATACAGGTAAGAAAGGAAGAAAGAAAGAAAAAAAGAAGGCAGGTAAGCAGAAATGGCCACCTTTGCAGTGAACTTGTTTCACAGAATTTCAGACAAAGGATTGAAAAAAAGAGGTCCCTGATGCATTTTATGCAGAACTGGGCTACAAACCTGAAAACCTCTGAGACTGTAGGACCTGACACGTCCACACACAGGCAAAGTGCAGTATTTCCCATGAAGGAGAAGATGAGGAGATGGGTTCTGGAAGCAATCCATAACTATCTCTTTTAGGCTCTGATTTTGTGAAGGATAAAATGGAAAAATTCATTTTCTGTGAGTTCATATTGTGACCAACTGTGCCAGTGTTCATTTATTCCATGAAGCAAAGGATGTCTGTGACTATAGAAAACATAAGCCCTGTTATTGTGGAGAGAAAGCACGAATCTCATTCCAAATAAGGCCCTGCCGTGCCCCACGTGGGAGCAGGTGTGTCTGGGAACGGAGAGGAGGAGGGTGGACTTAGGCCCTGTCCCTGAACTCCTTCCCCGGGCTCTCAGCACCGCATATTGACTCAGTGATGACAAGACAGGACTATCGTCCCGCCCCTGCTTTACAGATGAAGAAACGGAACCACAGAGTAGCTTGCTCGAGGTCAAGATGGCAGAGCTGGGATTCTCTCTAGATCCCAAGACTGCTTTACACTACAAAGTGCAGCCTACCTGAGCAGCTGGGAAACAGATGCAAGAAATATAATAGCTTGAGGAGGTGGGCTCAGGGGTGAGGGTCCATCAGAACTGGATGGATAAACTCACAGTGTAATGTTTTTCCTTTTGACTGTTAGACTATTTCCGTTAACTTCCTCCAGGCCTCCACTATAGCCCTTCTCTCGACCACCAACCCAGCCCACCCCGTCTTCAGACAGCCTCCCCTCAGACAGACCAAGTTCAGTAGGAACTTGGGTGACTTAGCTCATTTGCAGTATCTCCTGGTCCTTTTGCACATGAATCCCAAAACAGGATGGCAAAAAAGGGTGAAGGTGCCCCCTTCCGGGTAAGTTCTCTGGGTGGAATCCCACGACCTCCAGATTAAGGGCCAGTTCAAGTTAGTTTTCCTTTTTCTAAATAGACTCACTTTTCTCTTCTATTGTATTTTTCCTGGTAGTTGGACATAGAATTTACTTTTTCCCCTGTGATTCTTACACTATCCAGAAAACTCTTCCTGGATTCTTTACTGAGCCTCGAATCTCTTGGCAGTACATTTCTATTTTTTATTACTTTTATAATTTTTTAATTATACAAAAAATATGTGCTCAACACAGGATTTAAAAAACACATCTGTCAACTCTACAGAGACCGCGGGCTAGGACTCCTTTATTTGGAGTGATGAGATCTTGATTTACGATTTGCAGAGGGCCCCCTTCTTAACAACATGCAAGGGATTCAGCTTCTAATAAGAGCAACGTGTCCTCATGGGGA